CAAGTCCAAAAGTATATGTACTGCGCATGACTGGACTACACAGGCAAAGTGTTATTTATTTATCTACTAGGCCAAAGAATAGGCTAGGCCTACGTGTTTGCAAAACTGGATAACCTGAAAAAAAAAACTAAGTGTATGGCTCGCTGACTCGCATGGCTCGCATGACTCGCACATGGGCTCGCACTTTGGCACTACTCATAAATCTGCTACGGGATGTCAAACAACCAGTATATGATGTTCAAAAAACATGTGATATGAATAAAATTACCATTCCTGTCTTGCCGCACGTTTATATTTCCCGGTAAACCTAGGCGAATAAGTTCACCAAGTTCATCATCATCAGCAACAGCGACGGGCCTTGCTTGGTTCATCGTCGCCAATAAATGCCATAATTTGGCCAAAATTTACAATAAGCCTACGAGGCGAGGCTCTGCAGCTTTTTCTTCATCGGATGATGATGACTGATTGTCACTTGCCATAAGATCGGTCAATTAATATTAATAATAATTGGAATTGTGATGAACACTATAAAATCCGCGAGAACAAAATGGCTACAACTAAAAACTTGTGTATTGTGGATTTCACCAAATTTCACGCATGCGTGTAATTACATCCGTGTGCCTATCCTCCGAGGCATATGGCTGCCAAATTCGTAAAAGACAGTCGTAGAAACAACATTAAAAATGGACTTGAAAAAATAATTTGAGAAATATATAGCCAAATTTTAATCATTTACGATGAAATACATATCCAGGAACAAAAATGTAAAGCGGATTAGCTATTACCATCACTGTATTGAAGAAATGTAAATTCCTTGTTCCAGAAGTAGAGTATCTTGGACACATTGTCAGTAGTGAAGGTGTACGCTGTCTCTTATACACATCTGGGAATTTTTGGGGGTAAGGCATTGTCCAATACGTTTAATATTGGGTGTCCGAGGTTTTCCAATGACTTTCTAAACAATGATGACAAGATTTTGGATTTCTAGAAACCGTTTCATATCCATTTTAAGGCAATTCACAAAATAGTAACAAACACTTAATGAAAATAATAATTGTTGGTCAGTTATATCATATTATAATTTATTTAATCGATTCACCCCTAGCAAACACCGGGCAAGCTGACTAATAGTAACCAATAACCAATCAATGTACGGTATGGTACTGTACGATATAACAATCTGAATAACTGCAATGGCAATACAAAATATTTTCTAACAATGCACAAAGTAAAATATTAAATGTAATGAATTCATAATTAATAGTTATAAAATGCAATCTCTGTATTGGCACATCATACAATGATTCACTTAACAAATTTAATTAGTTAACTCTGATCAATAAGAACAATAAGACTATAAATAATAGAAGCATTATTAATATAATCAACACATTATTCTCTACTAAGTAAAACAATCGTATTCACTCATGTAACCAATTCACTTGTCATTAAAATACATTTACATTAAAATATAATTGTTGATTTACTATTAATATAGGCCTATAACATAGGCGCCGCCATCTTGGATTACATTCCATGGGCGCAGCCATCTTGAATTGTTTGTTTATAGCATAGCGCCACCATGGGTTAAAATATAACTGTCATGTAATTAGTATGAGTCATCATCTACTTCATGGTCAACCTACAGTAGGTGGTCCAACCATGCCTATTATCTTTGTACAGTATCTATAAACTACATAAAGTGCATTATACACTACATGCATCTCAATAGTCAAACATCTGATAATTAAAATGCAAATCATTCACAAACTTATGCGAAACAGTTAATTTAAGTTCAGCATTGTATACAAAAAAAATAGTTTTGTTAAATTT